TAAACCAGTTCAGTCGCATCCATGGCATTGCCATCCATCCATTGCCATCATACCTATCCATCCCCATGCCATCAATTCGCATCAATCCATCCAATCACGTTCCAACCACCCATTCCATCCAATCCGTTCCATCCAATCCACTCATGCGGCATGCGAAGTGCCGACTCCAATCATCGCGAGTGGCCATGTCACGAATATCCGACACCATCGCATCATTCCAATTCCCAGCACCACTCAATGGCGTCACTCCATCCATTTTCCATTTCAATCCCTGTCGTTATCTTCATCCCACTCCATCGCCATCCATCCATCCTCATGCCATCCATCCCACTCATCCATCCATCCACTCCAGTGCTCAGATTCACTCCAATCGCATCCCACCCTCACATCCATGCCATCCATCCATAGCATCCGATCCAATCACTCCATCCATGCCATCCATCCAATTCCATCCAAATCCATCCATCCATCCATCCAATTCCATCCAAGTCCATCCATCCAATCCACTCCATCCATGCCATCCATCCAATCCAATCCACTCCATCCATCCTCCATCCATCCATCAATCCACTCCATCCATCCATCCATCCATGCAATCCACTCCATCCATCATCCATCCAATCCCTCTCATCCCAGCCATCCATCCATCCATGCCCTCCACATCCCATCCATCCATCCAATCCACTCCATCCATTCCATGCCATCCATCCACCAATCCACTCCATCCATTCCAATGCCAATCGCACGTTGCCATCCCATTTCCATTCATGCCAATCCTCTCATCCATTCCAATTGCTAGTTGGTTTTTTCCGAAGTCTTCAGCTCTCTTATGTGTTTCCAATGCCTTATTTCTCAATCCTATCTTCTATTCCATCTTCATCTGTTCCATCTTATCCGCACTTCCTATCCATTTTGCGCATTCGAGAGTCCTTATCTTTCTCATCGAGTGCGCATTCTCAATTTTTCCACTTGCCATTCTTCATCCATTCCAATCCACCCAATCCATACCATCCATTCATCCATATCCACTCCATCCATCCATGCCATCCATCAATCCGACGTTTCCATCCATTGCCATTATTTACTCTGAGTGCCATTGCAGCTTGCGCTACTTTCTCGAGTGCGCGTTATTGCGGATCCATTTTCGCGCATACCTTCACTGTCGCATTATCGCACTCCATTCCGCATGTCTCGATGACCGATCCACCCACTCCTTTTCATCCAGTTTTCCGATCTGCAGTCCTATGTCCAATTTCTCACTTCCATCTGCCTCTGTTGCATTCTCCAGCCCCTACTCCATCTCATCGCATATTCCAACTCTATGCTCCATCCATTTCATCGCACCCACTCCATTCCATTTTTTAGCTCCCAATTTTCCACTGGTCCGATGTGCCATGTCCTAATCCATCCTCATCCATTTTTTCCAATCCACTCCATCCTCGCTATCGTTCGAGATCCACTGCCATCCATCAATCTCCACTTCATCCATCCAATCCACTCCATTCCAATCCATCGCACTCCATCCATCCAATCCCACTCCATCATGGCCAGAGTCCTACTCCCTCCCATTCCAATCTCACTCCATCTCATCCAAGTCCAACTCCATCCATCCCAATCCACTTCCATCCTATCCAGATCCACTCCACCACCAATCCACTGCCATCCAATTCCAACCAGCTCCATCCATCAAGTCCACTCGAATCCATCCAATCCACTCCTCATTTCTATATTCTCACTTCCATCCATCCAATCACTCAATCCATCCAATGCCAGCTCATCCATGCCAATCCATCTTCCATCCATCCAATTCCACTCATCATCCATCCAATCCACTCCATCGCATTCCATTCCATCCATCCATGTCCAATTCACTCGCATTCCAATCCACTCCATCCATCATCCAATCCACTCCATCCTATGCCAATCAATCACGTCCTATCCATAGGTCCAATCCACTCATCCATCCACAAATCCCTCCATCCATCCAATCACTCATCATCCATCCAATCCACTCCATCATCCAATCCAACTCCACTCCATCCAATCCATCCTCCATCACATCCAATCCACTCCAGTCCATCCACCATCCCACTCCTCCATTCCATCCAATCCACTCCATCCTATCCATCCAATTCCCCACCATCCATCCAATCCATCCAATCCACTCCATCCAATCCATCCAATCCATCCTCCCATCCATCCATTCCAATCCCTCCATCACAATCCACTCCATCCATCCAATCCACTCCATCCAATCCACTCCATCCATCATCCACTCCACATTCCAATCTTCAGTCCAGTTCCTACCAATCCACTCCATCCATCCAATCACCACCATCCACTCCTCAATGCCATGCCTTAATTCTCACTCCATCTTCTTCTATCCAATCCACTCCATTACTCCTACCAATCATCATCTCATCATCACTCCATCATCCATAATCCACTCCATCCATCCATTCCATCCATCCATGCCAATATCCATCTCCAATCCATTGCATTCCACCTCCATCATCCGAATTCCACCCTTCCATCTCAATCCATCTCCAATACCAACTCAATCTCCATCCATCCTATTGCCAATTCCACACCATCCAAATCATCCTCCACATCCAACCATCCATCCATTCAATCAACTCCCCATCCATTCAAATCAACTCCATCCATCCAATCAACTGCCATCATCAAATCAACTCCATCCATCCAATCAAACTCCATCCATTCTAATCAAACTTCCATCCATCAATCCAATCCAATCACTCCATCCATCCAATCAACTCCACCATCCAATCAACTCCATCCATCCAATCAACTTGGCCATCCATCCAATCAACTCTTCATCCATCCAATCAACGTCCATCCATCCAATCAACTCCATCCATCCCAATCAACTAGTGCACCAATATTCCATCCATTTCAACTCCATCCATCCAATCAACTCCATCCATCCAATCACTTTCCATCCATCCAATCAACTGCCAATCCATCCAATTTCACTCCATCCAGCAATCAACTCATTCCATTGCCAATCAACTCCATCGCATCGTCAATCAACTCCATCTCAGGCAAGTCGCAACTCGATCCAATCCATCCAATCAACTCCATATCCATCCAATCAACTCCATCCATCCAATCAACTCCTGCCATCCAATCAACTCCATCCATTCGCAATGTTCAATTTCTCCATGCCGAGTCCAGTCAGGCTCCATATTTCCCATTTTTCTTGGCTTTTGCGTTTTGCTTGACATTTTCATTGAAACGAATTGAATTGAATCATAACGTCCATCACATTTGAGATCCTAATTTGAATTGGAAAATGGACTTGGAGTTCCATTCGCCATTGGCCAATGTCGAATCTGCGACATTTTCTCAATGGCTGGCCATAGTCAACGCTTGTACCTTGTGAATTCGATATGCGAACGAATGTGACTTGAGAAATGGATGGCTCCAATTTTCGACTTGAAGGTATGGAGTTGATTTGGTGATGGACCATATTTGCAACTCCATTGCAGGTCTGAATTTGGCATTTGGTATTGGAGTTTGATTGTGATGGTGGCCAATTATCGAGTTCGTATTTGGACCTATGTTCTGCAATTGAGTTTGAATTTGTTATGGATTGGAGTTTGTTTCTATTGGCGAGATCAGTAACGTATTCTTTGTGTAGTTGATCTCGGATGATTGGCACAGTTTGACTTGGATGGATGGACGTCAGAATCAATGCGCAATCTTGGAGTGGACCGAATTGAATTTTGGAGTGTGTATCGGACGTCAAGTTCTATTTTCTATTGATCTAGAGCACTTGTGCACAATGCCATAGTTTAGGTATAAAGTAATTCCTAGGTCAATTTGAGTATCCGCTAGTGAGTCATAGAATGCATATTTTTAGAGTTATATTTAATTTAACTTAATTTAATTTATTTATTTACTTATTTAATTTAATTTATTTTATTTCTGTTGCTACCTCTTGGGCGGCGGCACGGCGGAGGGTCCGAAATGGTCTTGAGCACGGCGACGCAGCGCCCACCACCACGTGCGTCGCTGACGCGCTCGGCCACGCCCGCCGCCTCGCCCGCCAGCAGCGCCACCAGCGCGGGCGCCCCCGCCCGTGCCGCGCGCCAGAACAGGAACAGCTCGCCACGCGACGCCGTCGTGCCGCCCACGTGGCCGAACACGTCGGTCGCGGCCTCCCAGAACACGCGCTCGAAACACAGCACCACCTGCGGGCACACGCACGACAGTTTTGGGCTACATGTTAAATGAGAAATTGGCAATTTTGTGTTTCCGGGCACGTCAAGAGCTGTGGTCGTAAGACCCGTAAGTTTAGTGCATGTTATGACGCGTAATGTGCCAGTGATCCCTCCTAGAAATGGAAATCCAGCGCCGACCTACAAGTCGGCATGAGGACGTTTACCCTCCTTCGATATCACTGCCAGCGGGGCCCCGACCCAGCCGGGCCATGCTGTAAGCTCCCGACATGTGTGGTAGTGTGCTTGTAAGTGTATGTGTGTGTGTGTAAATATGAGGTAAGGATAGGGCAAGGATGCGGCAGGAAGGATAGCGCGTGGCTCGTGTGTTAGGGTACTTCCACAGCATTCACCTGGAATCGATCGAAGAAACTACGAAAAACAACTGATCAGAGGAGCCGACAGCTAGAGTCGAAAATCCGCCACCACCGAGCCTCCAGGTCTCAGTCGCTGCAATGGCAATACTTGTTGCCCAGAGCGCAATCAAACTCCCTAAACTCTTCGAGGGAGGAGTTGGCACATGACTCCTCAAGAGGCATATACAAAGCTCCGTGCCAATTATCTTGTACTGAGGAAGTATTAGCATTGTAACATTAATAAATTAAGCAATAATTGAGCGTTACTATTAATAGCAAGATTTAGAAAAACATTCAAAATTTAAACCAAGAATGAAATTCCAAGATGCGTCGATTACAACAAAATAAAAAATTCTGTCCATCTGCTTATTTTTATTAATTATATGCACCTTGATTCACAGGGAATGGTAACTGATCTGCGTTTTCATTTCGGGCCACAAACTGCCATTGAACCTTGAGAAATGGTTCACGTCGCTTATTCTGACAGTTTTACACGAATGAGTTTCACAGTTCACTTCTTGATACCTATGAGGTTCCCAAGTCATGTAGGTTCCGGATGAGGGAACACGGGCCAGAAGTAGGAAATAATAGATTTTAAGTTGCCTAGAGATTAGTACCATGGTGAAAGAGATGGCCGAGCTAGTCAGGCGCACCGATTTTACGCCACGCCAGTTTGCGTCACGAACGTGACCACAACACGGGCACTTCCCTTGAAAAGCCAGACCAGACGCTCACCGTCATGTTGCATGGAGAGCGGGAAGTACTGAGAAAGGTTTTGAAAGAGTCATAAAGGGACAATTTTCAACGGTGACCAACCAAAAGTATCACGATGAAGGAAGATTTGAAATAAAAGATGCATTCTTCTTTATTTCAATTACTCATATCAAGGCGATCATGGATGGTGGTCTGGATTCAAAGTAAGCGCTTATACCGTGTCGCAAAGCGGCGCCCGCAGCGCATTGGCTGCAGTCGAATACGTCGCGCGGAACAGCTCGCCCATCTCTTTCCGACGTGACCAATACCTTGTTGAGGTTCCCGAAGCCGACGCGCTGGATGGCAGCCTGCTTCCAAGGCGGCAGCGGCGGCTCGAAGCACACGCCCCCCGACGACGGCGCCTGCTTCAGCACGCCCAGCGGCAGCGTGCACACGCACGCGTCCGCCGTCAGCGTCACGGGCCGGTCGTGCGTGCGCGGGCCCGCCGCCTCCACCTGCACGCACGCGCGCGCGCGCGCGGCCAAAAGCCATTATTGTCACATTTCACACTAATACGACCCGGTGACTATGAAGCACCGTGTGAAGAGAACACATCCCCACGTGTGTCTCAAGTTCTTGAGGCAATGTGTGTAAGAGAGGTTAAGTTCTTGAGGCAATGTGTGTAAGAGAGGTTAAGTTCTTGAGGCAATGTATGTAGGTTCCGCGGCCGGAGTCAGTAAATACAGAGACACGTCACATCCTAGGCACAGGTGCCAACGTTTCGGCCGCCGTTCTGCGACCTTCCTCTGGGCGAAATGTCCCGAGGAAGGTCGCGGCGACCCCCGGGCAGTCAAGTATTTAATGTGTATATGCCGATTCGCAATGCAGACATAAACAAAAGCATGGCGTTAACACAAAAGTTAGCACTACGTCCACAAGCGGATTCATTCACAATGCATTCGCACAACACGTAAGACATTAACTTGAAAGCTTGCTCGCTTCAAGCTTCTGTGCTTACGCTTATGTATGACATAAGAAATGAACCAATCACAGTACGTTAACTCAAAACCGAGTATGGAAGTCGAGGGAGTAAGTAAGACCGTCTCGACATATAGACCCCAATAACCGCGATGCTTCCTCCTGATGTCACCAGGGAAGTTGAATAGAGAAGAGACCAGTCCGTGACCGTGGCCGAATCCTACTCTGGTACATTTGCATGTGAAGACGGTAAAGCTTGTTATTTGTTAATGTATAAACCACTTTGCTGAGCAGTTCATCATTAGAGAAGTGTAATGATCCGTGATGATGGCAGTAACTTTGTTCTGGAAAGAAAATATTCCGCACTCAGAAAGGTGGTTTCTCTACATTTTATCAAAATTTACCATCTTATACTTCCACTGTACCTCCAGCTACTCGACGTGATCCTGCTGAACGACTGAAAAAAGTTCAATTAGCCCATGACAAAACTAATGAGTTATGGTTCAGTTCAGATAAATAGATAAGAATCATTTTAAGATTTTTCTGTCGAGTTCCCAAACAAGACAAATACTGAATGATTGGTAGTAAAGGAGAGACACTGTTGTAACTTTTATAAACATAATACTGCTCAGAAAAAAGAGGGCATCTGCCTAATAATTAAAGACAATTTTCACATTGAAAATTTTGAGTTTGACAAGATTTCTGTGTCCGATTTTCCTTTTCTTAAGAAGAAAAATGTATATTATGTAATTTGTGGTCAAAATTTGAAAATCTTTCGACCCGGTTAGAGCAACGGAATGTTCATGAAGTGACAATTTCGGACAGACGTACCACGGCTTCCAGCATTGCAAATGGGTATTTAATGAAAGACAACGGTGAAATGAATTTTAAAAAGAAAATTGATTTCCTTCGAGACTGGTTAAACCTAATGGTTCATTCCAAGTCAGTTTATCCACCAGATTTGTTAATATGGGTTTTTTCCGTGCACCTCAAGAACCCTTCAGGTTATTATTTTCTTCGAAATTCTGGTGTTTTGACTTTGCCTCATCCATTTATTTGAAAACGTTTCATTAGCAGTTTGGACCAAATCAGCCTAGTTTAATGAGTTGCCACATAAAATATCTGAAGGAGAAGTGGTCCAATGTGGCCAATCAAGTTAAAAAAAAAAGTGTACGGGAGAATTATTCATATAAAGGCGGTCAAATTGTTGGTCCTTCAGACAATCGACCTCAAGGAGAAAATGCTGTTCATGATTTCATCGATTGTTTCAAATAATCGAGATATAATTACTTTGTTTCCAATCGCAAAGCAAACTGGCCAACAGCTAACACAATAATGTTTTGAGAGTTTTAAGTTAAGAAGGTAATTTTGATAGCGAGATGTTATATTTACGTATGGTCAATAACGTCAACAGCTTTCAAAAAACTAAAAATATTCCTATGGGTGCTTCAATTTGGTCCATTGATGAAGCAACATCTTATTGAAAGAAAAAAATGGCAGTTTCCGTAGACTTTGTTTGTGACTTCGTTTTTCCTGTGAAGTTTCCATTTTGGTATAGAAAAGCCTCTAATATTTTTGAGAAAACTGACAAAAGAGAAATTGGCCAGTAATTTTGAATTTCACTTTTGTTCTATTTTTGAAAAAGGGGCTTAATTTTTGCTGCTTTGAAAATGTCTGGAAATATTTCTATGCATAAATAGCATTGAAAATGTGAGTTGACGGGTGTACAAAGGCAGGTACACAGGTTTTCAATTTATCCGGAAATTCATCTAAACCACATGAATATTTGTTTTTTTATTTTACTGGCTATTCTCAGGAAATCGTTAGAAGTTTCGGAAATAAATATAGTGTCGAAATTATTTTGGAAAAGCGAATGGTGTTGAATTTTGTGGTTTTAGTCCCTTCGTGAGTTCAGTCGTATTTCTAGAAAAGTGTTTGTTGAAGAGATATGACACTTTTCCGGATTACTTGCTTCTCTTTCACCGTCCTTTAAAACAACATTCTTTACTAAGTATCGAGATGATTTATTTTTTACAATATTCCACATTGCTTTAGTTTTGTTACTAGCGTTCAAATTATCCTGATTATTTTTCATTATTTTTGCCAGAACTATTACTTTACTTAACACTCTTGTGTTCTCGGAAGTAGACCGAAACCGAGTGATACGTTAAGATGTTTAGAAATAAAGTAAAGCGTACATTTGTTTTTACATAATGTTCTAATTCCTTGTGTGATCAAAGTATTATTTTTCCGTGAAATGTTTAATTTTCTCTTTTTAAGAGGAAAGAATATGATAAAGTGAAATGAAAGCTTTGAGAAAAATAGATTATATTTGTCATTTGTGTCAACAACATTATAAATTGTGTTCCATGATTCCTTCAGCAAGTAGTCCTTAAATAATTTTATGTTAACTTTAGTGAATGCTATGCATATGCATGTGTAATTTGTCTCAGTGTTAATGTTATTATTAATTGTAAGTATTTGTTCATTGTGATCAATGTAAGCTATATCTGTAGTATTTATTTCACATCTAGTTATGGATTTCTTAATTATAATTTGATCTATTGCTTTTTGTGATTTAAATGTATCACATCATTCTGATAGAGATTTTACCCTTTAACAAAATCTGTTCTAAATAATCACCTCTTCAAAAAATGTAATGTATAATTGTTTGAAGGAAAAAATAGTATTTTTCAGTTATTTATGCTTGAAATGAATGCAATAAAAACATTTTTTTTCAAAAAGCACTATAATTATTTCATTAAAGTTTGTTCACACATAAATCAAGGGAATTTTAAAAGAATGTCACAGGTATAATTTTCGCTGCGCACAGAATATTGGAAAATGGCAAATTTTGAAGTAATGCCAGAAAGCATGTGCTGTTATAACACTACTAGTTTAATCAAAGAAATGGAATTAAAAGCAATAGTGAGTATGTTAGTCAACTGACATTCGGCAACACATTTTGAATTATGTGACTTGCAAGGAAGAAGGTAAAACTAACATAAAATTGATAGCCTGAGAGGATTTGCTACTAACAAATGTCCCTACTCGACCAGAAAGTAGGGAATAATCAAGTTCTTCTGTATTGGAAAGGAGCATTCTGCCCTTGAAACATTCTGTAAGAAAATGAAAATAAATTGCCTGAATGAATCTAATCATAAGACTTAATTCCAATTACAAACCTTAAGCAGGAGTATTCAGTTTCACAACCTTATATATTTTTTTCAAATCAGGATTCTCCTTTCCAATATACAAGCTGCTCATATAATTGAAGAAAAAAATTCCCAGGCAAGAATAAATTGAAAACTGCATTGTCTACAGTTATAATTCTGTCACCAACAAAATTTTAGAAAGATCTATGGACCCAAAAACTCAAGTGCAAATTCATAATTGCAAGTTTATTTGGGTTCTTTGCTTACAGGAAATCTGTAATAAAGAATGTTTGTTCATTACATTCAAACAACATACGAGTTCAACGTGAGCTCCCTCCCTCATGCATACACATTAATAATTGTGCAAATTCTAGTTAAGGCAAGCCAATAAGAGCAGCTCCAGAAAAGTAAAGTGCAATGTGTGATCAAGCTTGGTGAATACGTGGCTGGGTGAAGATAAAAGTAGGTGGGAAAAATAAGAGAGTGTAAGCCGGTCTATTTCTGGAGGGAGCAAGCTGGAATGGTTGGTGAAATTATGCAGCAGAGGTTTCAATGCAATCAAAAAGAGGCTTTCGAACCACCTATCAGAAAACCAGTTTTCACAGCAAATTTTTACTTTTTAAAAACTAACAAATTTTTGAAATATCATTGTGAAACTATTGCATACTATATAGCTTGCCATATTCTTCAAAAGCCAATTTTTTTAACCTTCTTCCAAAATCCATGCTTTTTTATAATAGAAGTTAATTTCTTTTTGAAATCCAACGAAGATATATAATATGAACATTTCTCACTGGTCAAAGGACATTCAGATGGAAAAATTTGAATTTTTCGTCATTTGGAATGTTTTATCACATATTTAATAATAATACAAAATATTTTTATGAACTATTTTGCTTATTTTAATTTTGTAACTGTACTATTTGGTATGAAGCAAAATCAGTTCATGAAAATATTACATTTATAAATATATGGTACAAAATTATGTTAACTACAACAATATTCTTATAACATCAATGCAAGTGATTAATTGGGTCAAAATGACTGTAAATGATGACTATCTAGGACGCTCAGACGGCTCAAAAAAATTTTGAAAATATTACAATATTATTGCGTTAGATTGCCTTATCAAACGGAACAGAATCGGATATAATTGTTGTTTTAGTGACAGCAACATCAGTTTGGCACGTCGACTAACACGGTCAATAGTCGCGTAAGAGCGCATGTTTTCGCTCGGCAGTGGGGGGAAATCTTTCTTCAGCGGATGGCGAGATCCGGCGCCGACCTGTCCGTCCGCTAGCAGAATAATCCCCACCTGGTATCTCCCACCAGCGGGGCACTGCATCAGCCGGGGCAAGCTCTGAGCTCCCAACCGTTCTCCCGGCATGTGTGCTTGTGTAATGCGTGTTAGTGTAAGTGTGTGTGTGTGTGTGTGTGTGTGTGTAAGGGGAAATGATAGGACACAGCAGAGATAGGAAAGATCGCGCGCCGTGTCCGTGACCGTGTCCGTGGTCCGTGTGGTAAGGTACTGCTCCGGCATTCGCCTGGTGTTGATCGGAGAAACAGCAGAAAACTACTGATCAGAGCAATCGACAGCAAGAATTCTCCTCCAAACAGCATCTGAATTCGATAAAACTGCCTAAAATCCAGCCACTGTCGGGACTCGAACCTAGGACCTCCCGATCAGAGGGACTGCTATGACATCAGTTGATGCCCTGAACCATCTCTCCCGGTCGAATTTAACATTAGCAGGAAGTTACATGAAAAAAATGGTTTCAATTTTGTTGCTTCAAAAGAAAACTATTAAATGCTCTTATAAAATATTTATTCCCAAGAATAAAAATAAAGATTTGATGTAATAGTCCTGTCATGCGCGGATTCATGGGGAGGGAAATGAGGGAAATTTGCCCCCTAATTTTTTTCTGTAACTATTAATTTTAATAAGCCACGAAACTTTCAAGCAAAAATATTTGCGGATAATCATTAAAACGAATAAAATTGTATTGCAACATAAGCTGAGTGTAGCCTGCGACATTTTACAAAAACTGTAATGCCACATTCGAAGAAAACATTTATTTCTCCTCCCAAAATTTGTCTCTGAATCCGCCCCTGTCTGTCGTCAAATACCCCACCCCACTCCTCTCGCATTTAGCAAAATGAGGGATCAAGAAAACGTGCGTGGATAAAACTATTCACTATTTGATAATGCTACATTTGACTTACTCCATATTCTATCAATTAAAAAATAATGGTACAATGCACATTGTGCGCTTTCACGCATTATAATAGTTAATTCTTATTACACGAGATTGGCCACAGTTTTTTCGACATCCACTAGTTATTAAAAGTTTGTGTTACGAGTTGTTACAAAGGAGAGGATGGTAGAATATCTCATTTTTGCGAACTTATTTTTCGTCCTTAAGATCTTAATCCGGCCTTATCTGTAACTCGCGGCGCTCATGAGGCAATCTTACCTGCACGCCCTGAGGGCTGTAAGTCACACGTCGCACCGCCGTGTTGAGTCGGACATCCACGCCCTCAGAGAGCGCCACGGGCACTCTCGAGAAGCCATCGTGTACCATGTAATGGCCGCCGCTTATTTCTGCCCCATCCGTGTCCTCCTCGTTCCACTGCTTCAGCGACAGGTTGTTCAGCGGTGTAGCGTTGGCGTATTCCAGGTTAGCCAAGTGCCAGTCCAAGATACGGCGGTCGCGAGATGATAAATACACATCGCTGGGCGGAGACGCCTCCAGTTCTTGCAGCTTTTCCTCCGTCACTTTCTGCCGCTCCGACAATGCGTCCCAATTCCGGCAAGCATTATTGAGCTCTCGAAGCGTGCAGCGAACAAGAAATTCTCGTGTGACGTCACGGGGACCTTTCGTCCCAACAAACCGTTTATACTGTTTGCCCATATCATCAATCTTTTCTCTAAGAGCGAGTAAGCGAAGTTGGTCGGCTTTCAGTTGTTCCTGAAGTTTAACAACAGCCTTCCAGTGTTGCACTTGCTTATCCTTAACATGTTTCTCTTGTAAATTAATGATCCATTCAAGGGCCTGGCCGAGAGAAACAGGTTTACCACATGTATTATTAAAATCCAACTGATATGACAAGTAACTAGCTGTTTCCAATAGGCGATTGAATTCTCTTTCAACCAACTCATCTTTGTCTTTGGGCACTGTTTTGCCGTCAGATTCATACAAAGGGCATCGCTGTTTTATCTTATGCAGTTGTAAATTTATCTGTTTTGATAAGACGTTAAGAGGATTACCTCCCAAACCAGTAATAATCATTGCGCCTAAATCAGCAATGTAATTTGATTTGCGGAAGGTTGCTATCCGTCCACCTACACGATCTCTGGCTTCCAAAACCACGACCTCCATTCCGAGATGCTGCAGTTGACGAGCTACGACAAGACCTGCGATTCCTGCCCCAAGCACCACGACCCTGCGCGTCTTCTGGACGGGAAGTGGCTTCAATCTCTTAAAAACGCCGAAATTTACGTACCCATGTTGTTCAAGGAAAACATATATTCGCATCACTAAAGATTCGTCGCCTTGGTATGGAGCCTCGATTTCTGAAACAGCTTTCTCAAAGAGTAATTGTTGTTTAGGATTCTCTAACCATATCTGAAGCAAACGGTTACGAATGTGTAAAAACACACCTTGTAACTCCTGCGTTCCTTGAGCAACATCTGAGAAATAAGCAGCTTCTGTTGCTGTCATTTTATCAAAGGGTAAACGGCTCTGAAAAGCAGCTCCTTCCAAATTGGTATTGTCATCTTGATCAGAAACTAGCTCTTCCTCCTCCTCAATTTTGGAGGAAGTAGTACCCGAACCTCGTTCAAAATTCGTTAAACTGTTCTTCACAATTTCATTTGAAAAACGTTTTTCAGCTGTCGTGCATGGCCCACCATCTTTTGTCTTTTCAGACATATCAATTACATCTTTCCCTAATAAATGGGTAGACGTCTCTTCTTGATCTCGACTCTCCACTTTTGCCTTTTTTCTTCGGTTCATTATTCTGCCGTTGTATGGACACTTACCGCAAGCTGCCTAGATCGGATACTAAACAAACTGTATCACACAATAAGTAAACACAGAAGTTCAAATGATTCACACAATACTTCGGAGAACATTCGTAATAACAGATATCACAGAGCAACACATTTAGAGACAGCGGGAGCCCTACTTGCTCCCTGCCTCCGTCCAACTGACCTGGCCATTGGCGGGAAGAGCCGGGAATGGACTGAATAATCTGCCACCAGATAGCGACAAATTCACTGCAAGCACAAATTGTCACAGTCTGAACCAAATTAATATCACCCCAAAGATTATCACCCGTAATATCAAATAATAAACATCGCAAGCACGTGACGGTTGCCCGCGTCATTCGGTGGTAAAATCGAAAAAGTACATAAATTGCCCAAGTGCATGCTTTCAATTTATCTCAGATTTTATGTGCAATGGATTTTGTATAATAGGCTATAAGTGTGAACTTATTTTATACTAAATTGTGAGGTATATGGAACATTTTAGTTTTCAACCCCATAATATGTGATACGTATTAAGTTTTATTAGATTTATAATCTAGTAATTTATTTTAATATCTTGACTGAAAATACAAATTTGAGAGTATTATACGCTTTTTTCTGTGTAACTCAGTGTTTTAAAAGTTTTTCATTATTCCTTCTATTATTTAATTTTCAAATGAGCTTGTAAAATTGTATAATATTGTTGATTTTAGAGTGTCAATAAGTTTGTTCAGTTTTATAATACTGTAATACGTAACGTATTATAAATTAAGTAATATAATATAAGGAAGTAAATTGATATTTTTCAACTTCAAGACTCAAGTTTTATAAACTTTGTTATGTATGTGATAATGATCTCAAAAGTTTGCTCTTGTCTTGTAGAATTAATGAGTATAATAAATATAAATAATATTATAACCCTACAGTTAAATAAATTAAAAACCCTCTGCCCAGAGAACGGTTACTTTGGGCACTGCCTTGTTTTCCATGAAATCACAAGAAATGTATGATCAGGGTGCCATTGAACACAAACACAAATTGTTTTGAATTATTTTTAACAAAATACAACAATAATATGACAATACCATATCTAGCTTAAGAAAAACAAATAAACATGAACCCTCATATTAAGAAACAACTGAAATGGAAAGAATTATAACCTACATCTCACAAATGAAGTTTGAATAATTTGTTTGATTTGTTCTGGCCTGTCAGTTACTTCATCCTCCTTATTACAGAGAGCATAAATGCTTTAGACATTTACTGATTATCTCATAAATATACACTGAACACAGTTCACTGTTTATTTTCTTTACAATTTTTTTCTTTTTTTTTTTCTTTTCCTTTTCCCTCCTTGTTTCTGAATTTTGAATATTCAAACTCAATAAACACAAAATCATTTTCATTTAGACCTTCAGCACAAGTTTTCAAATTCTCATGGTTCTTCTACTGACATTTGACAAATTACAATACCATTAATATATAATGGCAAATAATAAAAAGAACGCTGATTTGGATGCAATAAATTGTGGAGTAATACAAGGATACCCTTTGTTGCCAACAATTTGGGAAATATATTTTTCTCTTTGTTGTTGACCAATCATTAATCTAATTCTGAAGATAAGCTTCAATTTACCATTCCCTCAATGATCCATATTTGTTGAGAGTATAATTTACAAATATCTACTGATAAAACTAAGATAATGGCATTCAAAGAATGGACCCTTTAAGAGTAAAAATAATACTCGATAATGATATCTTAGTATGAGTCAGCAATTTCAACAACCTAGGTTTTAATATTTTGTACTGGAATAACAGTGATCCAATAAATAAATTAAATAATTTTCTCTAAAGAAAATCAAGTCAGCTGAACTGTTGCTTCTGAAATGAAATTTTTCAGTCACGTGGGAAGATATATCCTACAAGATCGAAAAAGAAATGACATAATGTCAAGAACTAAATATCACTAGTATCCGTGACAAAATTAAAAGATGTCAAGTAAATATACATCTTGATAGATACAACCTTGGTTCAAGGCTGGAGTGATCATTTTTAAATTACTTGAGACTGGAACAAACCACTTGGTTTAATTCCTGAACTTGATGATGATGATGATGATGATGATGACAATATAATTTCATGTCCATGGTCAGATACAAACTAACCAGAGAGACTTTAGACCTTGTCCAAAGTCACGATATGCTGTAAAGAATAACATGCTATAACAAATTTGTGAATAAACATATAAATTGAATTGAAATACAAAAATATTTCAGGTGTTTTTATTACAGAAAAATACAAATCCACAGAATAAAAATGGCTGAAATGGAGCTAAATGTCCATAGTACAAATGGGAAGAAATGTCACCCTCCCAGCACTCTTTATTAGCTGTAACAAGTTTGGGGATAAAGACAGCACAATGAACTAATTACAGACAGTCTAAATAAGTATGTAAACAACAAATAATAACATTATTTTAATTGTGTTTGTATTGTTTATTAATTTCAAATACATTTCACAGCCTTTGTTTCACACCATTTTGTTTTCACTGTTAGTGAATATGTGTGAATGTAAGTGTATGTGTGTAAGTGTGTATTTTCTGTCATTCAAATTTAAGAATTTCAGAGGGATCAACTTAATAATATTATTCAAATATTATAATTTTGAATTATGGAGTGTATTTTTGGCATATAATTTTTGATTGGTTGTTAGATACTTTAAGAGATTGTACTTTGCCGTAGAGAAAAAGAAAGAAACCTGATGGATTTCCTAAACAAATTTTGAAATACAGGCCAAGAGAAAGACCAGAAAAGAACTGGGCAGGCGAAGAAAAATGTGGGAAGACTAAAATCACCAAATTTGTGACACAAGGAATATTCATAACAAAGGAACAAGCCACTAATAGAACGCTTATATGTTAAAATGTCACTAGAATCAGCAATGAAAATATTCCAGTCAGTCCATAGTCCAATTATAAAATACGGAATACAATTAATATGGGGAAAACTATAAATAGCTGATCTAAGGGCCATAGAGAAAACTAAGACAAGATACTTGAAGAGAGTTCTGTGTCTTCCAAAGAACACACAATCAAGATTAGTATATGAACTGACCAGAGAACCATTCTACATTGAGTACTTAAGATACCAATTACTACTACCATCCACCAGGGAGTAGGCAAGTGCTAGAAGAGAGAAAAAAGAAGAGAAGAGAAGTGTGGCTATAATTTTACTCAACAGATGCAATGATGGAAAGAAAATGGATGGAAATAAATCAGGAATGATGGATACATGATCACAAGACTGGCGACACGTGGGTTTCATCACAAAATCTGCGAAACCTCACATCACCACGAAGTGTTAGAATACCCTGATATGATCAAATGTTGGTTATATCAATCCTTTATTGTAAAACAGCTTCATACATTATTTTTTATAGTTTAAAAAATTCAATTTTTTTGATGATATATTGTGTCATCTTACTCAAAGATTCTTCATTTCTTTAAGTTGAAAATTTAAAGCATTTAAGTTGTCAAATTGGGAATTCAAGAAAGATATAATGAGGAAAGAATTTTTGCCATAATCAATGTTTTTGGACTCAACCTACATATTATTAATTTCATTACAAGCTTATACACTGCAAGAAGAAAGAGAAAAAAACTTAGTGACATCCAAATTAAAGGTACATCTATTAGATATTTACATGGAAAAAGACTTTAAGATAAACTACAAAACTTAAATAAACAAAAGGTAGAAATATTCTGGACAATTCTAAAACAAGCATTAATGGAAGCAGCTAATGAAAGCTTAGAAGTTACAAGACCAATAATGGAGAAGTAAGATCCTGGAACGAAGAAATACATAAAATCATTGTAAACAAGAAGAAAGCATATGAGAAATTCCTAGACACAGAAACAAGAGGACTACATAACATATAAAAAGTGGCGAGCAAAAACAAGAAGAAGAAAAAGAGAGGACTATAAAATCAATAGAGAAAGACATCACTGGACCACAAAGAGTTGGCTTTCAAATACTATGAATGCTTGGGACTGAAACAAGGTACGAAGGGACCTGATACCAGAGACAGAGTGGATAAAACACTATACAAAATTGTGGAACATAGACAACCACATTTCAAATATAAATATGACATCAGATTTGGAAAACCAACATGTACAAGAAATAAAAATAGAAGAACTTGAACAAGTAATTAAAAAAGCTAAAAACAGAAAAAGCCCTGGAATAGATGAAATTCACACAGAACTTATCAAATATGGAGGTAAAGAACTAAAAATGATTTTGAATGAACTATTTAACAAAATATAGACAGAGAATCTTACCCCAACAGAATGGCAAACAGGTTTGGTAACAAATATGCATAAGAAAGGAACAAAACTAGACTGCAATAACTACAGAGGGATAACTCTACTGCTAACCACCTCAAAATTATTTGTTAAGATATTAAGGAATAGAATGAATGAGTACAGGGCAAACTTCATGGTGAAGAAAAATGTGGATTCAGAAAAGGCAGAAGCCCAAAGGATGCTATATTCACAGTTCAAACTATATTAGACATAAGAAATGAAGGAAACTTACAAACATATATGATATTCATAAACTTTGAAAAGGCATATGCTGTGGTGAACACGGTTAAACTATGGAAAATGTTAGAAGAAGAAGGAATACCAGAAGAAATCATCATTGGAACAAAAAACACTCTACATGGACTCAAAAATCGCCATAAAAATGAATAATGGGACCTTCACAAAATCACTTCACACAAACAGAGGGCTGAGTCAGGGATGCAGAATATCACCCAACCTTTACAATATTTATACCAACAGTCTCATCAAAGAATGGAAGAAGTCAGTAAATCAAGGTTTACACCTTAACAAAAAACTAACTATACAAACAGTCCTGTTTGGAGATGACCAAATATTTTTGGCTGAATCAGAAAAAATACTCCAAATAGCAACACATGAACTGAATAAAATAGTAAAGACCTATGACATGAAAATCTCAACAGAAAAAAAAACATAACAATGTCATTCCAAGGAAAGGTACTAAGATGAGTGAAGATAGTCATTGAAGGGGAAATAACAGAACAAGTATCAACATTCAAGTATTTAGGCAATGACATTGGACTAAACTCCCAGAATCTC